GACAACCCAGATCACACACACACACCAGCAGTGAAATTATTAGCCACAGAATGAAAGCAGAGCAAATCCTTCAGTCGAGTTGTGTTCTAAGCTCTGTATTCTGACACACACTGCTATATGCTGTGCTTGCTCTCCCAGGCGTATTGCACTCCATATCAGGAATTAGAACAGCTGTTTTCAATCCTTTTAAAATAAGTAGGTTCTCTTCCAGCTGGAACTACCTCTGCCTAACCAGCTCCTGCACCCTGTCACAGCCCACCTGGCTCTCCAGGTGCATCCATCTCCTTAATCTCTCTGCATTCTCATTATTTTAAAGCAGTTCCCTGTGGGACTATCCTCTTTCCCTCCATTGTCCAGGTACTCAGAACCTGTCCCGCAATTTACAGACACGTGATCTCTGACCCCCACAGGAAGCTAGTGATTGCTTTGGGTCATCTTACCTGTTTCTGTTCTCTTCTTTGAAGTAAAAGCCATAACAATCTTTTGGTGGTTTTGAGTGCTGTTAACTCTTTCGCCAGCAAATCCTCTTGTGTATCAATAACTATCATTTCTGATGTAGAAAGTTTACAAACCTGTTAAAACATTGTAACCAAGAAATTAAATGTGATCTGCAACGCTCCCTCAAACATTTGTTACTAATATTTAGATACTACTTTCAAATACAGGCTGTAAAAATAAATAAATGATTGCAACATTTAAAAGTGAAATAACAAAAGAAGAAATGGTGCAGTAGTAATCTTTAAACAGTATGTGAAACACAGAGGATCCTCTTCCAGTCTAACAGGAATTAGATATCTTTAATATTTATTTCTGATAAATACCCCAAAATCTCACCTTAAAGCCATCATGCTAGCATAATAAATAAATAAATAAATAATTTTAAAAAAAATGATAACAAAAAAAAAAAAAAGTGGAAACTTTGAAATCAAAAGGTTTCCCAGAACTCCTTGCAAAGAAGTCATCTTTTCCCCACCCGCATATAATATAAATATGGAAAACCTTCATGTAAATGTTCTTGGAGAGAATGAAACTCTGGGATGACAGTTTGAAATGATAAATTATTTAAAAAAATGAAAATCTCCCCCCAAATTATAGTCAGGAAGCATTGACTTGTGACTCGTGAATCTTTTTTTTCCCCTAGAAACAATGGCAAGCAGGCTTTAAGGAACATATCTAAATAAGGTTGATGTATATGTCTGTCAATGATTAAAATAGGAAAATTCACACCTCTCTGCTCTTTCAAGAACTCTTTTCTGCATCCTCTGCAAATGGGATTTAGAAGTGGGACAAGCATTTGCAGAGATCATAAATTTAAGACTTTCTAAATTTAAAAAAAACATCCACAGGCATTGATAGAGACAATAAGTTTAAACAATAATAACCATTTTTGAATTCAGTATTTAGTGCGTGTACAAAGTTTTGACTACAATGTACTTACGTTTGTCATTCTACCAAGTATGTCTTTGAAGGTTGGCAACAAGTTCTTTGCTGAATTAATTGCCATTACTGCTTCAAAAATCTCCTGTGAAGCACCATTTTTGTGAGAGGCATTTTCCTTCTCCCTGACCACAAACAAAATAATAAATACAATTTGACTCTTGCTAATAAATATGCAAATAAACAAGGCCCATGCATAGTTAATAACATGTAATTTTACAACTGTTTTTTAGAAGATGCATAGTAAAGTTGATGGGGTATGGATCTTACACTTTGGCTTCTCTGCATCGGTATTCTCAAATGCTTATTTAGAAATAAATTAAAAGATAGCTTATTAAAATATTCCTTTACTATTAAATTTTACCTTTTCTCTTTGTCTGAAGTGCATTTTCTCTCTACACTTCCATTCAAGTTTTGTGGTAGGTGATTTTTTGGTGAGCTTTCTTTAAGCAGAGGGGACAGTTCTGTCATCTTGATCCTGTGTTTATCAGGACGTGGCCCTCGCATGTTTTTCCAAGTTTCCTCCTGCACAGTCGCTGCCAGCTTCTAAACAGTGTTTTCAGTTAGAGTTTAATTTGTCCTTGGTTACAATGGTGCGGATTCACTACCATGAAATAAGTACATTGCAAACAGGAAAGGTGATTTTCTGCCCCCATGGTAATTGATCAGCATAAAGGGAATTGTTAAGACTTCCGGGAATTGAGAAATGAATGGACCTGAATTAATCATGCCATTGTCTGGTTCTCACATAATTGTCTTTCCCACAGTCTATGAAGCTACTCCCTCCATAACTGTCAATAAAAAGCCTCATGCCATAAGACTGTCAGCTCTATGAAAACCTAAAGATCAAAAAAAGTTTCTCTAAAATTAAAGAATGTTCAGAATAAACACCCCTCTGTCAGCCTGCAGGAAGTAAAGGTTACAACAGGTTCCAGAAAAGAATTGAGGAAGTCAGAAATGAAAAATCACATTTAATTTTAAAAGCTATCTTGGTACTTTACTCCACAAGGCTTCTATATCACACTACTGCTCAGATTTAATGGCTGTTAAATACGAATTCGCTGTGATCTATTTCCTATTTTGACTTATATGACCCTCTGAACTCCTTCCAACTTTGCAGGAATATTTTCATACATAGGACATAAAAGAATATATATATTTCAACTATCTAATAAAGAAAATGATAAGAGTAAATATTAACAATTTGCATAATAGATTTATATTCACATTAGTACTATTTTGTTTTACTCGTTTTCTTACTTGTTGTTCTGGATCGTCAGATTCTTTCCTTAGCTCAGTAAAATATATTCCATCTCGGATAACTTTTGTGGTTCTATGACAATCATTTTTATATGGCAGAATCAGTGAACAGTGTTTTCCCTCTTCTTGAGATGTAACAGGTACTACACACCTTTTTCCCTGAAACATATTCATGATTATGCAGCATTTAGTATCATTCACTGTTAGGGTATGCATCTTCCCAGTTCAAGGCATACCAGCACAAAACAAGTCAGCTCTTCAGGCAATTCAGAAGTGTTAGGCACCAAAGAAATCCCACTTTCGTTTATGATTTCCAACAAGTGTATAACCCTGTGATACTACAGAATGCACCCTCTGACTGACAGCTCACATCTCATTTGTGAGGCAAAGGTAAACTACCTGCAGTGAATTTGGAGATACCACGTGTCACAGCAGTTCATCCCATTTGGAGGCAGCAGCAGCTTTTCTCTTCTCCTGGTTGAGATCAGCTGCTTACCTTGGAGCTGCACAGGGAAATGTGCTGCCCGTGGCACAAAGTCCAGCTCCAGGAGGTGCACGCTGGCAAACTCACCCCACTGCCCTGCTTCCTTGCCAAGCACCAGGAAGCTGCCTTGCCTGTGCCATACCCAGCCATAACTAACTATTCCTGCTTCCACACCAAGCGATGCATCCTCTCCAAATGGGTTTGACAGGCAGAAAGTTTGTATTCTTCCGTATGTATTCCTCTTGTCAGATATTTGAGAAAATGTGACCCAGAATTCCAGGAGATACCCCCATAAAATCAGGATGTAGAGTGTTTTATCTCAAACTCTTGCTGTAAGGCAAATAACTACACTCCAATAGTGTAGTTAACTGTTGTTATTATTTATTTTAATGCGTACTTTTGCTTCCTGTTTTACTGCATGCTTACATTTTCTAGTAGGCCCCAGTTTGAGTAACACAATTCAAGCTTCTGTATCTTTTTTTTACTTATATAACCACAAATTTATCTTGACACTGAGCCTTCCAAGGTTCCATTCTCAATGAAAGCAATTAAATTCAACAGCCCTTTGGTTCTATAAGTAAAAAAAAGATACAGAGACTTGAATTGTTCGTCTATATATGCAGGAAAGAAGAAATAAGATTTTCACATTGTTTCAGTGCGCCATTTTTCAAGCTTAACAGAAGAGAATAAGCTTGCCTCGTTAATATCAGCAAGAAAAAACTTTTCCCGAGCAGCAGAGCGGCGTGCGGGAGCGGTGCGGTTACACAGCGGTACGGCTGCGGGTGGCGGCGGTAACGGCATTCTGCCAGCGCTGCAGGGCGCTCCGTGCGGCTCGGCACCCGCTGGTGCCCATCCGTCGCTACCTGCGAGGTTAGCACAGGACGCAGCTGGATCCCGCTGCAAAACACAGCGTACCGAGGAGAACTCAGCCCCAGCAGAGATGCAACACAACGCAAGCGAAATTTTGCGCAGGTATTCATGCCGCGGAAGGCTGTTTGCTCGCTAACCGCGTAAGCGGCGATGAATTCACAGTGCGCACAGCAGTCACCCGAGCAGCAGCCAGCGGAACGCAGCCGAAGGAAAAGGCGAAGCTCTCACGCCCGCACACCGCACACAGCTGCGGGGTTCCGCTCCTCGCACCGTCACCCTACACGGATCCCGCACGCGCCGACCCCGCTCCCTCTCCCGTTCCCGTTCCGCCCACCCCGCCGCCCCTCAGCAGTAGCGGCCCTCACCGCCGCCGCGATCGCTGCAGCCGTTGCCGCAGCAACCGGGTGCCGGCAACCGCTGCTCCGCTGCGGCGCGCGCACCTCGGAGCGCTCAGCGCCTCGCGCCCCCGGGAGGCGGCTGTCACCGCGCGGACACGGCGCCTGGGGAGCCCTGGAGATCGGCGCGCTCGCTGCTCCTGCTTGCTTTCTTTCTGCTCGTTTCCATTGAAGTATGTTTTTCTGAGGTTGTCGTTATTTATTTAAACGGACTTCTCCGAATCTTTTGTGTTTCACAAAGGAAAAAATCACGCTCGTAGCTTTTCTGCTCCTTGTGTAAATCTGTATTGTTTGTACAAGATTAAGGGATGTAAACAGAGGTGCAGTACCCGGAGAGCACGCAGGTAACTGCCTCCTACAGGTGTGACCTTTTGGTCGTCTCCCACGAATGCCTTTTCAGTGCCCTGCACACAGCTCCGTGCTCCTCAGGGAGCCCCGGTTACAGCAGGAGTTGCTCTGCTCAGAACTGCTGCACACCAGGGGACCCCAAATTCTGCAAGCTGATGCCAGATACCTGTGGCACTCATGTCACCACAGGCTTCGTCAGTGCTAAAATGGCATTCCTTTGTCACGTGCTGGGCAACGTAGTGGTACAGATTCAGAAAAACAAGCGAGTGTGTCCCAATGCAGGAATGGCACTCAGTGCACACATCCAGAGCTGCATAAGAGGCTGTGTCAAAAGAAGCGTGGCTGGGGACGAATTGCTTCATTCCTCCCTCCCTCCACAAATGCTCTTCTGAACAAGATGAGGCACAGATTTCTGAAGGGAAGAGAAAGTTCATATACACACAAAAAAAATCACAGGTTAAATCCCAACATTTATAATACTGAAGATGAAATTACTCCATGATTCATTATGGATTAATAGCATGTTTATACCTGTATTGCTGAGGAGATTTTGTCTTTGCATGTGGAGAAGCCTGACGCTTTGTTCTTCATAGGAACCATAGCTTTAGCAGTGAATTAATGATCTCCATCAGACCTCTGCATTGGCGTTGCAGTTTGTTAGCTGTGCTCTTGGTGTCTCATATTCTGCTCAAACAGATTTTGGAATTTTAACTTCTCAGAAGTTGCTATAAGGTAGACATTTTAAAAGCAATACATGATTGCACTTATCTAGAAATAAGCTGATTGCTTACGTAATAATAATAAAAAAAACTATGTTAAGGGTTAATTAGCATGGTAGTCAGCACTGTACTCTGTACCTTATGAACAAAGAGAGAAATACAAAACTGTTTTAAGATGGCCCTGTCATACAATGCTCCAAGTGGGAAATAATTAAAGGAAATATAATGAACAATTCAACTGCCACGTAACAGAAAGACTTATTAAAAGAGGAGCTGCAGAGTGACTTCTTCAAATACTGCATAAACTACTGAGTGTTTTTCCCAGCTCATGACTTTATCTGATTTAACGGTATAATGGAACTTCTCATTTCTGTGTCAGAAACTTGAGAATCCAAAGCCATTCTTTGTTCTTTGTTTAATTTTGGCAATAGCTTCTTATCACAAAAAGACTCTATTTTCACTTCTTCATCGTGGAACTGGCTTCTTTATAACTGCATATAATATGCTTGCAGTGCTGTGCTGGTGCTCCTGAAGGCAGCTGCTACATTTTTTCATTTTTCAGAGGACGAGCTAGCAAGCTTTAAAGACAAGTTCAGTTACCTGCTAAGAATTCAATGTGAGGAGAGGACAAGGAAGAGACAATAAAAAAAACAAAAACAACAAGAAACAAGGTTTATCCAGGAGGTCAAGGGATTACATTAAGACAGAAATGTGCTTTCAGTTCCTCATTCTTCCTCCTGGATTGATTTGTTCACTCCTGCCCATGACCAACTTGTCATTTGCAAAGATACATTACAAAACACATGGAGATGTCCTGAAACCCAAGGTTCTGTGCTCATATCGGTAAACAGGACTGTAACAGTTCCCTAATCTAAAGCTACCACTCACAGAACAATAAATATATAAAGAGTGGTATTAAAATAACTTTCTCATCAATTAATTTGCTTAGTCATGTGCTCTCAGATTCTAATAAAGGCTTCCATAATACTCCTCAAAATACAAAACAGAACAGTTCCCTGTGTAATCCTTCCACTCAGCCATCAGCAGATGTGTTCTTTTTTTTTTTTTTCTCTTTTGATTTGCTACTGCCCTGCCTGTAAAATTGTTCCTTCCCCACACTTCTATGTGCCATCAGGTGTAATGCTATCTTCTCTGGGAAAGGAAGGACTTAATCTTCCTTTCTCTCAGCCAGTCTTGGACACTTACTGCCTTACACAGCAATACATGTCCAGGAGAGATGATAATGTATCTTCCCACAAAATAGACATGGTGGTTTCTTCTGTGGCATGCCAGCTCCTCAGGCAGGTCTGCCCCAAAGCTATGCAATCATAGGATTATTTGAGTTGGAATTTTCCCTAAAAGGTCATCTAGTCCAACTCCCCTGCAGCGAACAGGAACACCTACAGCTTGATCAGGTGCTCAGAGCATTCTCCAGCCTAACCTTGATTGTCTCCAGGAATGAAGCACCCAATACCTCTGGACAACCTGTGTCAGTGCCTCACCACCCTTATTGCAAAAAGCTTCTTCCTTATGTCCAGTTTAAATCTCCCCTCTTTTAGCTTTTAGCTGTAGGCTCCCACCTAAGGATCTTCATCTCTATGTGGAGGACTTTGTGGAAAAAGTAGATCATCTTCACTGCTGTTAGAGCAGCAGCAGGTGTTTCTGTACTGTTCCTGTACCTGAATGGATAGAATAAGGTACAGGGCAGTAAAAGGCAGTGCTTTCTCCTGAACAACGTTTTACATGGTGGCAGGTCTGGGTGTTCTTCATTTGCAGACCGCTGTTTCAGTGCTAAGCTTGTTTGTCTCTGGCTGAGAGTCATCTGGGAACATCTCACCCTAGATGCGGGTTATAGCACTGCAGCATTGCAGAACTGCCTTTACTGCATGCACTGACCTGCCTGGGTCAGAGTTCCTAGTCCTCTTTGTTACTGTAAATCCAGCTGTGCCACAGCTCATTTTCGTGTGAGTCACTTCCAGCTCAGTCAGACATCTCAGCAATTTGCATGAGACTTTCTAGACTTTCTGAGGAAGCAATAGGAACTTTCATTTCTCTTTACTAATCAATCTATGATGCATTCACTTCTCAAATTTGACATTCTCCTTGTGCAGTGCATCAGGCTGGTGAGCACCCCTGCAGAAAGGGATGTGAGGATTCTGGCTGACAGTAAATTGAATCTGAGCAACAGTGCGTGCTGGCAGCCAGAAGGGCCAACTGTACCCTGGGGTGCATCACGCCCAGTACTGCCAGCAAGCGAGGGGAGGGATTGTCTCACTCTGCATTGCATGATGCAGCCTCACCTCCAAGCACTGTGTGCAGGTTTGCGTGCCACAAAAAGGGCATAAAGATGTTAGCATCCAAAGGAGGGCAAAGGAAGAGTATGTGACTAAAGTGTGTGAGGAGTGGCAGAAGTCCCTCGGTTTGTTCAGCCCAGAGCAGAGGAGGTTGAGGTGTGGCCTCGTGGCGGCCCACAGCTTTCTCATGAGGGGAGCAAAGGGGTGGGGTCCTTGGCTAAATTCTCTGTTTTATCAATGTGGCCACAAGTAGCCCTGGAAATCCTGCAGCCCTGGAAGTTCTGCCTTGCAGCAAGTGGAGGCAGAGATCCCTCCATACACGTGTGGATTGGGCAGTGGGGCTGGATACAAATGGTTCCTGCTGACAAATGGGAGCTGTCTGGAAGGGAGCAATGTAGCCCATCAAAACTGTGAGTGGGAGCCTTGGTGGGTGTTACATGTCATCAACGTCAAGCCACTCTCCTGGTGTTACTGTAGGGCTGTAACAGTAGGAATGCCATCCCCAGGTTGTTCATGCAAAGAACAAACTTCTGCTTAAGCCCTAAAAGCCCGTGGGCTCTCAGCGAGGGCTGCTGGCGGGCTTTGGCTCTCGGATTTCAGCACTAGACCTGTGTCGGGCAGAACGCCGGGAAGGCGCCGGGGGGGCTGCAGGGCAGGCAGCGGAGGAGAGAGTGCGGCAGGCGCCCGCCTCGTCCTCCTACGCCCGCAGCTCTTGTGCCGGGGAAGGCGGGCGGCATGAGCGGCGGAGCGGCGGTGGGGGCTGCGCTGCTGGCTCTGGCGCTGGCGGCGACAGGGGAGGCGGCGGCGGTGCTGCGGGACGGCGGCTACGAGGGGCTGCTGGCCGCAGTGCATCCCCGCGTGCCGGAGGACGGCAGGCTCCTCGCACGCCTCCAGGTAAGGCGTAAGGCGGCGGGCCCGGGAAGGGGCAGCCCCGGAGGGGGAACCGGGCCCGACGCGTCCTTCTAGCCGCCACTAAGCTGCGCAACAAATGTTGTAGTCGAGATCAATAGTGGAATGAACACACTGCTAATCCCGTCTTTTCTTTGCGTGTTTGCCAGGAGATGATCACCGAAGCTTCCTCTTACCTGTTCAATGCTACAAAAGGCAGGGTCTATTTCAGAAGCGTGAAGATTCTGATACCTCCGACGTGGAAAGAGAAAAATTATGAGAAACCAAAACACGAGACCTATGAAAAGGTAAGACTCAACACCAGCTGCAGGAAATGGGGTGCAACTAAAAGTTACTTTGAACATTTATCTGTATGCTCAAATGTACAATAACTTTTAAACAGTGATATGAACACCATTCAAATGAGAATGCTCTTAAGATCAGACAAAATGATCTGTGAACCACTGCTAGCAAGTACATAAATAATGAACATCAGTAACAAAATAGTAGTTACAGCCTACAGTAACTGTAGTAGTAACAGCCTGTTGGTTTTAAATGAGAAACAAGAGAGTGCTGGACTGCAAGAAGCTCCATGTTAAATCCATTGGAGTCCATACACTGATTGCTTTACAGGCTTTTGAATGATTTTAGAAGCCTGGTTTGAATATCTTTGATCTGAACATTCTTATTTCATTTCTCTACTCATTTTCACATTTATGAAACGTTGGGAATGTTTGCTTGTTAGTTCCAGTGATGACTGGTTGTTTTTTTCACCTTTTGCATTCTTAACCCATCATCTTTCGAAGACATTACAGAATGGCTTGGGTTGGAATAGGTCTTAAAGATCATCTAGTAAATTAGGTCATAGTTTTCTAATTGCACCGTGGCTGACATTTGTGCTGAAGACAGCAGTAATACTTGTCTAGGTGGAGTTTCAGACTCATTAGGAGAGGTCTGGCAAGAAAGCCAAGGAAATCCAGAAGAGCAAAGTTGTTGCTATGGAAATAGAAAGAGAAGCATAGATTGCATTTATTCAAAACTTTGTGTGGCTGCAATCCAGGAAATGGGAAACACATGAATCTGTGTTTTAGCTACTTGCATGACCTCTGGTACTCAATGACCAGTTTCACAAGTATGAGATATTTGCAGCAGACATTCCAGTATATTCTCTCAGTAGGTAATATATACATATATATATATATAATATATACGTATATATGTATATATTACCTACTGTATATATATATATACACTGTAGTATATATATATATATACTATATATATACACACCTACTATATATATAACATATGACATACACAATAAAATAATAAATGTATCATATATATGTAAAATAAATGTACATAGGTCTCTCCACAAGCAATGACTCCTATGTATTTCTGTGGAAACTACAACAGCTACTAAGAACACAATAACACTGTTTGATAGAACAAATGCTCAGCTACAAAACACAATTTTTCAACACAGTCACCACCGTTAGCTGTGCATTTTCACCAGTGATGAACAAAAGTTTGTATGCCATGCTCATAAAAATCTACACCAGTAGAAGTGATCACTGTCACTGCTGCCACTGCTGAAATGCACCACTCACCACCTCAGTGTGCTCACACTTACTGTTTGGTCTCCATAAACATTCAGCAAGTGTCAATGAATGTCAGTGGATTCAATTTTTTTTCTGCATGGAGGAATTCAATAAAACACCATTGCTTCATTCACACTTCCATATCAGACAATATTCTGTCAGACTGCCCCTCTGCTGCCATCTGTCATGCAGCAACAAAATGAGATACTGATGGGAGGACTCAGCCTCTACTGCCATCCCACCAACATCCACCTCTGATATTGTGGGCTGACATAATAAAACAGGAGGCATTACTTTCCAAGCAGCCCTCATATAATATATAATAAATATATAATATTATAATATTAACATACATTTTAGTTGTGTTCCTGCTTGTCACCTTCTTTCATCTGTGACATTTGTCAGAGGCTGAGTAAAGACAACAGAGACATACCCAATGTTTGTTTTCCAGTCTGTCTTGAATGGACAGATGCTTACTACCAAACCCTCTGATTTGCAGGTACTAATTTACACCTTCTTCTTCCTCTCTCCTTTGAATGTTTGCTTTTCTTTATATTCTCTGTAGTTGGAATTTTGTTTCAACCTATTGTATTAAACCTTCCTCCTGTCTGAAGTCATCCCAACTATTAGTACTTGCAGCCAGCTCTGCAATCCCACCCAAAAATAATCTTTCTTTCTAAGTCTGGGAAAAAACAAAAAACAAAAAACAAAAACCTGCATATTCACTGGACAGTTTAAATAAACAACAAAGCATTTATTCCTTTAATCAAGTTCCTTTTTGTAATTTTTTGTACTTTTTAATGATTTTAGGCAGACGTCATAGTGGCAGCTCCTTATTGGAAACATGGCGATGACCCATACACCCTGCAACACGAAGCTTGTGGAAAAATGGGAAAATACATCCATTTCACACCTAGCTTCTTAGCAAACGATTATGTGACAGACATCTATGGCTCACGGGGTAAATTCCCTAAATTGTTTACTTTTCCAGTTTCCCCTTAGTGTGAAACAAAAGATGGAATATTGAAAGCCAGTGATAAAATAGACCAATTCTGATTAACATAAAAGCTAAGATTTCCAAATGATATCATTTAAAGCTAGTCACACTTAAGCACAGAAGTGAACTGCTTGATATTAAAACCGCTTGTGGTATGATGGTGTGATTAAAGTCCCTGGTGTAATATCACTGATCAACTCTTCAGGCAGTGATATAACATCTAACTCTGGTCACCCTGTGTTTGCCCTTCTGTCATCCCTGCAGGCAGAACCTTTGTGCATGAGTGGGCCCACCTTCGCTGGGGGGTGTTTGATGAGTATGACAATGACAGACCATTCTATGTCACTGGACAGAATCAGGTTAAAGTTACAAGGTAATTCAGCATTTGGCCCTTCTACAAACTCTGGTATGCTTTAGAAAGCTGCCTGGTATTTTTCTGTAAGCTCTTGAGCTATCCCAGTTTCTTTTAGCCCTTATTTTATCCATCATTAAATATTCTTCTTTCTTTATGAGTAAATTACTATTTTTTGTGCATTCACTTTTACACTTTTCTGTGGTTGACGGCTTGGCAGAGGTGGTGAGTGTTACATTTTTCTGGCCTCACACTAGAGACTTCATCACTTCTGGACTCTACTGCTGGGGAAATGGTGCTAGTTCAGAAATCTTCCATCCCATGATCTGCTTAAGCATTTCTCCTTTCTCTGAGTATGCTGCAATTCTGGGACTTTTCTGCTGAGCTTCTCTTCTTCAATCCATTTTTTCATCTTCGCTAAATCTGCACATCTTCACCTCTGCATTCACCATTGCAGTAGTGCCTGACTCATAACCTGCTTTTCCTCACTGTCTATACAACCAAATGGACCACGAGAAGCAAAGTTTTATTACAGCACATTTGACCTGGAACTCACCAAGCCTATGTAAATGTAGCCTATGGCCTACACGAGGAGGCCATTTACAGCAGTTTTTCAGGGTACGGAAACATTTGGAAGATGTGACTTCTGGATGAATAAGGTTGCTTTTGCAGTTGTAGACTTTGTAATTGTAATATTTCTACTTAGTCAAGAGGCTGAAGTGTTGAAGAAGGAAAAAAATCAATCATTCTTTTTTTTGTCACTTTGCAATAGATATTCATATCTTTTTGCAATGTTAACTTTTATGCAGGTGGGCTGCAGAGTACACTGCAAGCATCATTAATGTCAGCACTGTATGCAGGTAGGTTTTTAAGTGGAAATGTATTCTTTTTTATCTTTAGATGTTCCTCTGATCTTACTGGCATCTATGTCTGTGAAAAAAACTCCTGCTCTGATGGTAGTTGTGTCATTAATAAGCTAACAGGACTTTTTAAGGAAGGATGTGCATTTATTCCTGAGAGAAATCAGACTGCAGTATCTTCAATAATGTATATGCAAAGTTTATCATCTGTAAGTACAAACATGTGAGAACAGATTTCTTTCAATGAAACATACAGTTACAAAATCTGATATATCCTCTTACGCTACATTTGGTTCAACTTTTATGTAAGCAAATCAACTGTAATGTATTACTATTAATGCAGTACAAAGTTTACTGTTAGGTGATGTCTCAACTGTGTGTATACAAAAATCACCTGTTACGGTTTTCCATCTTAAATTTATTTATTACTCTGTTATTGCTTACTTCTGATTTTTATCTACCTGTTTTGAACATTTTAGGTGGCGGAATTTTGCAATGAGCATAATCATAACAGGGAAGCACCCAATTTGCAGAATCAAATGTGTGACTACAGAAGCACATGGGAAGTAATTAAAAACTCTACAGATTTTGAAAATGATCTTCCATTGACCAACAGCAGCCTTATTACCCCTCCCTCTTTCTCACTGCTTCAGAAGAGAGAGAGAGTCATCTGTTTAGTTCTTGATGTTTCCAAGACTATAGCTGGGGTAAATTCTCCATCAATATATTTCCTTGTACATTGTATTTTTTTTGTCTTATGTTTTCAGAACTTTATTCATCTGGAAATAGTCTCCATGCAGAGACAGAGAAACCTGATTAGAGGTGTAAGGAATCCACTTGGCAGTGAGAGTATTTGGGATTTTCTTAAATCTTTGAGGCAGAGGAGCCACGATTAACAAGAATGAGGCCAGGCCAGCAACGCAGGATACTGGCCAGGTGGCTGTCAGTGGCAAGGCTTTGAGTGGAATTAAGGACTTTGTGTGCTGGGTAGTGTGAAGCATGAGAAAGATTGACGACGAGCCAGAAGGGGAGGGGGAAAGCTGTGAGGAACAAAAAAATTCCAGAAGAGATGGGTCTGAAGGCCTTCTCCACCGAGGAACAGTGTTCAGCAGTGAGTGGGCTAAGTATTGGCTAACTTTAAGGCTGATCTTCAGTAAACAAACTGAATAGCATCACAGGGTTTTGTATTCTAAATTAACACTGGAACTTGCAAAAGTGAATATTTTATGTTCCTTCCCTCTATGATATTTTCTGCCAACAATTTTTAGTTATCAGTTTGTAACTTGCAGCATTCACTGCTATTTCACGTGCTTAACGAAATTCTTCGTTTTTCACTCCTTTTATGTGTAGGGTAACTGGATCAATAGATTGCATCAAGCAGCAGAATTGTATTTACTGCAAATTGTGGAAGAAAACACCTATGTTGGAATTGTCACATTCAGTGACAAAGGAGAGATCAAAACTCACGTGCACCAGATAGTCAGTGACAAAGCACGGAAACAGCTTGCTTCATATCTCCCTACAGCTCCAGGGGGAAAAAGGGCAAATGTTTGCGCAGGCCTGAGGCTGGCATGTGAGGTGAAGCTACATACTACATACACTGCTTCTGTTTGCACCTCTTGTGTAGATGGTTTGTTTTTTCAGTAGTAAGAATATTTGCGTCTAGGCTACATCAAATGCTTTCTACTGATTACTGCATGGTTTCTGAAAAGAACTCTCCTAGTTTTCCTGTGAACCTATTATTTATCATCTTGTAATAATTAAAAATACAACAGCCAAACTCTTTTTATAAGAACTTTTGTGATTGTTGCAATAGGTTTAACGATATCTGTATTATAAACCATCATGATATATATTAATTTCACAACTTCAGTAATTACAAATGTTACAAGTTATGTAAGTTTTATCTTTACTATTTTTCCATTTTGCTTTCTAAATTATTTTTAAAACTGAAGCTGACATACACTGCATTTCTGCTGTCTTTGATTAAGTGGGATTTCGCTTGCTAAATTCAACTTACATTTGCCTAAAATCCCATTCCTTTTTGGCTTTGTTATGCAATATGAATTCATTAACATGGTTTTATTATTGCATCTTTAAGATCAGTATATTAAGGGCAACTTTTCCCTGCCTCAGTTTACCTCAGCCTGCTGAGTACTACAACAGCTCAGCAAATGAATTATGTGGAATGTACTCATCCTGCCACCAGGGTGGGTCACTGCCTCCCTGAATGTTGTGTGGGAAAATCTGGGAGCAGCGATATTATTTCATGTCTGATTTTAATTGATTTCCTGCATGTTGAAGCCTTTAGTCTCAGCCTTCTGCCAGGAGGATAAATATCTGCATAAATATACCTGAGAGAAAGGGAATTACTGGAGTTGTTCACTGCATATCTCATTGTCAAGTACCCATGTGTCACATTCTCATTTTGGTCTCTGTTATTTCTATACCTTACTGCTATATAAAACTTAGAAAGTATTCATTATTATAGAGTGTCTTTAAAGACTATTTTAAAAAACTAATTACAGTGTAGATTATGTGATATTTATTGCTTCTGCTAAAGTTTGTTCTTCTACTGCCAGGTGATTAGGAAGAAAGAAGGACATCTGTATGGATCTGAAATTATACTGGTGACAGGTGGACAGGACAATAGTACAGGCAGGTGTTTTTCTGAAGTGATTAATGGTGGATCAGTCATCCATACCATTACTGTTGGGTCCTCAGCGGCTAAGGAAATTGAACACTTCTCCAAAGAGACAGGTAAGTATAGGAACAAACCATGACTCCAATCTGAAGATGTTGGGAAAACTCTTATGAAGAAGGTGGTGCGTGTCCACAGGGAAGGGAGATGGCGGTCCTCCCTCCCTGGCACCACTACAGTTCTGTGGTAACATTTGGTACATTTTGCAAATCAGAAGTAGCTCCTGTGTCTCATTTAATATCTAATAGCTAAATTTGTAATAAATCATGCTGTTTCAGGAGGATTTAAGTTTTTTGTCCCAGAAAGGCTGGACTTCAGTGACTTACTGGATGTTTTCACTGGAATTATGTCCAGAAGTGGAGATACGTTCCATCAATCTGTTCAGGTTTGTTTTATAGGCGCAGTTAATTATTCTGCTTACTGTACTTTTTAGATAAGATCAAAATGTATCAAATGTATCTAGGCGTCCTGCTACCTCTTTCCAGGTGAAAACTTCACCAGCCTGATGTATAATCATCTGCTTGCAGGTTGAGCAAAGCGATGAGAAAATACAGTTGTGTTTATTCTAACTTCTTTTGTATTACCTGGAAAACTGTAAAAGTTTCCTTGATTTCTACTGCATGCTAGAATATAACCAGCTTTTTCTCTGCAGTTTGCAGAGACAATTACCACTTCAAACAAGGCACAGAATGTCATCTAGAAATTTGATCATCCAAGAACATGATGAGGATGAAGCTCTGTCTGCATCAGGAATATTATTTATTGCTTTTCCTCATGGAGGAGCATATAGATGGAACTTTAAATCCATAAATCAGACTTATTTGGGATCATGCTCTTTAATATCATCATTGTCAGCTGGGAAAGTAGTAATATCCCACATACCTCTGCATTTCTGGAATTCCACCCAGTAAAAATGTAACATTAATAGAAGGCCTAATTTTTCTGTCACTCCTATAGTTCTGTGGAACTGTTTTTTTTTGTGCTATTATATAATTGAAGGGGAGAATAAAGTCCCCAGTTATCAGAGGCTAATAATAGTGTACATCTTTATAATTTTCCAAGAATATCAGATCTGACTGTTAAAATGGTAGACCGAGCCCTTCTTTGTAAGAATGTGTGATTTCCAGAACTGATAGAATAATTTTGTTCTTTCTGATAGATTGAAAGTGCTGGTGAAAGTGTTGCAGAATACACGCAACTCAGGAGGACAGTGACTATTGATAGCACTGTGGGACGAGAAACCTTCTTTGTAGCCACATGGCAATCTGCTGAACCACCAGAAATCATCCTGACTGATCCCATCGGAAGAAGCTACACCGTCAAGGACTTTGAATTAGATTCAGTATTCCATGTAGCTCGCCTCCAGATTCCAGGAACTGCAGAGGTACAATTCGATCTCTTTTTGTCTTTTAGCAATGGGAGGAACATCCTGACTCTACATTTCTTCCATTTCATCAATGTTAGTTTAATTAAAATCATTTAGCAGCTTGACATAGAATTGCTCATCAACACCATGTGACTGCTGCTGTGTCCCAAGCAGAAGTATCTGCTGTGTTCAAGAGAGCTACCTGAAGGCTTTGTCTGTATTGTCTTTACTATAATTTACACGTGATGTACAACTTAACTGCAAATTTCTGAATACTACCAGCAGCCAGTAAATGAATTTTCTCTTGTTTCTGTTCTAAGAAATAGTTAACATTTATTTAACATAGTAAGTCCATTTAAATTTAGTGTCTTGTGCATAGAAACTTCTCTCCATCGTAAAAGCTCTGAAAACTTTTTGTCCATAGAATTTTATTCTTAATCTCCTGAATACTCCACAGAAGCTAAGGAAGTAAATTGAAATTGATGTTTGTGTTCTCACATGGAACGGCTGCCAAGAGTCAGAGGATAGAATCATAGGATGGCCTGGGTTGAAAAGGACCACAATGATTGAGTTTCAACCTCCCTGCTATGTGCAGGGTTGCCAACCACTAGACCAGGCTGCCCAGAGCCACATCCAGCCTGGAGGATAATTGGAAAGCACTTCTTTACTCTGATTTGTAGTCATGAGTGCTTCCACTGACAAAACACAGCTACTTGTAGGGTTCTACTTAGTCTAAGTAGGCTGATAGAATTTAAATAAGGACAAATTAAATTATCCAAAAGATTGTTATTTCATTTGAAAACATTTGGGTTTTTTTTTTTTTTTTTTTTTTTTTTTTTTTTTCAGACAGGAGACTGGGCATACACATTGATAAATGTTCACCTGGCTCCTCAAGTTCTGACAATGACAGTAACTTCCCGAGCAGCAAATTCTACTCTACCCACTGTGTCTGTGAAAACCTATATGAGTAAAGATACAACTTACTATCCCAGTGCAATGGTTGTCTATGTACAGATTAGTCAAGGCTTTTCCCCTATTCTTGGGGCAAGTGTCACTGCCACTGTCAGTTCAGAGAATGGAGATACGGTTTCCTTGGAACTTTTGGACAATGGAGCAGGTAACAAGACTCTAGGACTATAAATTCAGAAGTAACTATAAAATTAAACTAAAAGACTCCCTTAAGTACTGTTTTCACTGAATACTTCAGAATACAATGCTCTGAGGCAGAGGTTCTAAACGTTCTATGGTAACGCACACGAGTGTGTGATCTAGTTGAATTTATTTTAAGCTTTTGTTCAGAACAGGATTTATATGCACAAATTAAATGCACAGACATGTTCCAATAAGCAGAATTGTGCTGTGTTCATTAGTTATCAGTTGTCATTCCAGCTGATTGAATTGGTGATGTTCAGCACATTGGAAGACGTGGTCTTTAAATCTCAGTAAATTAGAAAGCTGTTAGCAAGGTGAAAAGTAAGCATTTCCAGGCAGAAGTTGCAGGCTGTATGCTCTACTGCCTCTTAACAGTTGGCAAGAAAAGGTGTGAATCTCCCAAAGGTGTTAGAATTTAGTAATGTTTAGTAACTCACACATTTGCTTTGCATAAATTATTATGGATAATTAAACTTGCTGCAAGGCAACACAATCTTAGCTGCACAGACCATCATGTTGGTGGAAAGGATTTTTGTACAGAGTAGGTAGTTATGAAATAATTTTTGTAACTTTTGGAGCTATTTAGATTTGTTGTTTCTGTATTAAATTTCACAACTGAAAACAATCAGAAGATTGTAATAATGAATACTCTGGTTTGCATGACGCTGGGGGTAAGCCCCTACATGAGAATACTTTCTGGGAATGCACTCCGAGCACTTCAGAAGTGCAGGTCCTCTGTCTCCCCTGAATTCCTGGGCACTTTCCCAGAACACAGCTTGAGAGCCCATGTGACATCTGGTGAAATAAGATGATTTTCCTAAGTTAGCTTTTCCTTCAGCTAATATTCAGTAGAAGGAAGCATCTTAACTTCAGATCATTTTAACATGCACCCAAAGGCAGAAGAGCTGCACAGATTGCCTATCAGAGAAGAATTTACCTATTCTTAAACTCTACTTTCTATGTATGAATCTAGAAAGAACAAAAACTCACATCCATTATTACTTGAAGTCAATTTATGTATTTATGTCACTCTTCTATCTAGGTTCTGACATTTTTAAGAATGATGGCATCTATTCCAAGTACTTGTTTTCTTTTTCTGGGAATGGAAGATACAGCCTAAAAGTTCGTGTCCAAGCTAACAGGACTACTGTGCCACAAACTGCAATGCCATGGAGTTATGCCATGTATATACCAGGTTATGTAGAAAATGGTAAGATGAAGTAATGCAGAGAAAAAAATAAAGCTTCATTGCAGGACCTGAAGATATCTATCCCTTTGAAGATACTAAGAGTAGGCATTACAACGACAGCTCAGTTAAGAGAGATTTACCTGTGAAGGGTTTAGCACAAAAATAGTCTACATGCTCCAGAAAAATACTAAAAGCAGACTTCAAACAACTATAATGGGACAGTATGTATGTAATATAGGTAAATAGGATTTGGTTTTTGTCTGTGAAGAAACTATCCATAGGTTTAGTCAGTAGATGACTCTATTCAGTCATCTTAAATAAAGAACAGTTAAAATATTAGGAGATTAAACTCTCCTGTTTATATTATAAAAAGCAACAGTTACTTCAATTTCATATTACCTTTCTTACTAGCACTCCTGAAACTACAAAGAAATAGGCAATGCCCTTGAAATGGTCTTAAATGAAGTGAATGGTATTTTTGTATTTTAAACAGAATAGATGAAGTTCAGGTAGTTTGTGGAATACAATAATATGCAAACAGTTAAGATTAATGAGCATTTTTTAATCTTGTAGGTAAACTCAAGATGAACCCATCAAGACCCCCAGCTATTAAAAATAATACTCAGGTCAGAAGAGGAGATTTTTCTAGAACAGCTGTGGGAGACTCTTTCACAGTATCTGCAGTTCCAACAGGACCTTATATTGATGTTTTTCCACCATGTAAAATTATTGACCTTGATGCCAGAATGGAAGATGATAAAGTCATTCTATCATGGACTGCACCAGGAGATGATTTTGACAAAGGCCAAGGTATGTTTGTTGGCTTGCTAGCCTGCCTCCTGCCCAAGATGAAATATCTGTAGTGGAGTTTTGTCTCACTGACACCAAAGGAAATTTCATTAAAAGCTACTGTGGTTCCAGGGCTCTATTCATGCTCTGTGAAATGCTGTGTTAATTATTCCAGTGCTGAACTGGCTTGTGAGGATGGTACTGGGAAACAGTATTTTAAAAGTGTTTTGAAAGGGGAGTATTTTGAAACTGATACAAAGTTGGAATGATAGCTAGCATACAGATGACAATATCTTTTAATATTTGTATTTTCAGCCACAAGTTATGAAATCAGAACAAGTGAGACTCCTCTGGAATTAAGGGACAGCTTCTATAACACTACTTTTGTGAATACTTCCACTCTATCACCTCAGCATGCTGGCTGCACAGAAATATTTGTGTTTAAACCAGAAGCTTTTACAACAGGGAACATAACTGTAATCTATGTTGCAATACGTGCTGTGGATGAAGTTTTTCTTCGCTCTGAGCTATCTAATATTGCACAAGCAGTAATGTTTATTCCTCCAATGGCATATCCCCCTTCTAATTTGAAGTTTGGTGTTTCAACGATATTGTTACTATTCTTTGTATTATTAACAGCAGTGTGTCTAACAGTAAGTACAAGCCTTTGTTTAGTAAAGAAAAAGAAGAAAAAGAATCTTTCAGAAAATTCAGCTAAGCTGCTTCAGCATAAAGTGTAAGTTTGTCAGAGCTCTGGGTACTTTAAAACATTTTACCGCTTAGACTTGTAAAAGTAAATATCCTACAATAAACAGAGTAAACAAAGTAATCAGATTCCAGATATTATGAAGACACAGTGATTTAACACCTGCATCATGCTGTCTATGAATTTTATCATGGAAGATTGAATGACAGTAAATCAGATCATAGGCTGATAGCTTGTACTGCAATTATGCAATATTTGTGTACAGTCTTGACACTGTGCAGTGCCATGGCCTGTTCTTACTGTGTGGTGGAAACGTTTTGATTAAACTGAGAGAGATACTGAAGATGCTGTTCCTTTTTAAAAAACAGACAACAAGCAAAACTAAGCAGTGTGAGTTGTGTTTATGTTTCTGTAAGCGCATACGCCATTCAGCTTCTAGGCATGGTGGGGAATTCCCAGAGAGGAGGAAACTGTGATCGCAGGGTGGGGGAGAAACTTCTGCAACAAGACGGAAATAATCTTTGTCCTGACCCAACTGAAGACAAAAGAAATAAAAGCCAGAGCAGAAGGAAGGAGATCAACTGGGGCACTCTGCTTTCAGCTCTCTGACATGTCATGCCTGGAGAAAAACTGTACAGTCTGCAATGGTTTCAGTATGTTTCTGCTATTAATCACTTGTATCCTTAAACAAGCAAACACAGAAAATGGCTTTCCACCCTAGAGATGGATCTCTGCTATCAAAAATCTCATTAGAACTTTTCTTCCCTGTTGTTACTTCTCCCCTTGGGTTTAGAAGGCTGAAAAGTGCTTATTAACAACACACTGGGTTGCTTTGAGTGTACTGTGTCCTTCAAGGAACTTTTCCTGCTTCTATACAGACATTAAGGTTATTCTTTTATTTTTGTCTACATCAGTACATGTGTCAATGTATGTGAATGTTTGTGTATGTGCACATATGTGTGCATGTGTTGTGGGGGCTTGCTTTTTTTCCTGTAATGAGATTGCAAATATAATGATTATCTGACTGAAAGCCATGTGTAAAGATAAGACAGGGCAATATCTTATGATCAGACTCTGAGTCAGTTTGTACTCTACTATTTCAGAGAGAAAAGAACTGAAGAAACTCTAGAATATGTTTTGTTAGATTTGCATTGTTTCTTTGAAATGAATTGGATACATACAACAAAGTCAGCTCGGTTCTCTGATGCAGGGAGGATTTTTTCCTCAAAGAATACAGTATAAGTGCAGTGTATAGAGCATTTCATAGCAGGTGCAGACTTGAAGAGTTTGCATTACATGGCTAAAATTTGGCATTTACATGTCATTGCCACCACCTCTTCATTGCACCTCTGTGGGGTGACAGCTGCTGTTTCTGCACCCAGAGAGGAGCCAATTTTGTGGCAGCCACAGCTGGAAATAACTCAGCACACCCTCCTGAGAAGTAGAAGTGAGGTTGCTGTTTGGTGCTTTAGCTCTTTGGTGATAATGTACATTAGAAAAAGAAAAGCACAGAAGCCTATGGAAAGAGAAAGATGAGGAAAGAAATTTTGGCACAGAAGCTATCCTTGTTAAAATCTATCCAAAGTGAAGAACTTAGGGCAGATCTCTCTGTGAGAGAGACAGGATCATATGAAGGGTATAAGCAGGAAGTCACCAGAGCTGAACAGCATTCCTGCCCATTCCCAATCCTTTTTATTTATAGTTGAGTCTAAATCCAGGGACAGGTTTTTGGAGATTTAAATACTTCCTTTCCTAATGTAGGAGGTGAAGGAGCAAAACTGCTGTTATCCAATGAATGTAGGATAGGTGGTAGGTAAGATAGAATAAAAAAACAGGCAGAGAAGCAGTGAGGGGTGACACAGGATGGTGTTTCCATGGGCTCTGGTCTGACAGAAGACGGTGCTGCACCGGGAGGACAGGCCCGGCTCTGCAGGCCGTCCAGCTGCATGGCCACCACCTTCCTTCAGCTGCCACCAAGTGACCTGGGTAAACCTGATCACTTTTCTGAGTCAGCTGAAACCTCTCCTGTGTTTCCAGAACAAGATACGGAAAATGGCCCTACATTATATTGGTTCACATTCCTTTGTGAAACCTTGCCCTTGGAAGAGAGTCAAATGTTACAGATTGCTTCTGAGATTTTGTGTTCTGCCCTTTGAGATCATTTCACCTTCTTGCTGATTGAACCAGGAAGGGAGAGGGTATCATCACCGAAAAAAAAAAAAGGAAGAAACATACTTTTCCCTTGGATCAAGTTAAAAGACAAGAATAAAACAAGCACAATTTTTATTATGATCAAAATCCAATGAGTAAATAGAAACAAATAGATGAGCAAACAAAACCACCACCACAGAAAACAACATCCAAGCAAGAACAGAAAGTATGGGATAAGCACACCAAAATGACAGAAATAAATACTTCTTCAGCTTCACGTAGCCAGAAAATGGCTGATTTCAATTACTATGTGGCAATATAGTTTTGACAATGCAGAAATGACCACAAATGTTAACTGCTTGCTCCATGATGAAAGAAAAATCTGAAACTGAAATGCTTTTTAGTTTTGAATATCAGTTTTATTCTTCTGTACATGGCAGCAGAACAGAGCTGCAGAGGGAGTGACAAGTTCAAGGCAGTTCTAAGAATTACAGAACAGTAACTAAGTGCGCGGTGTTTATCAAGATATCTTAACAGATATTTCTCAGTGATGATGATGCATGACTGTTGTCGTGTCAGCTTTTTTTGGTTTTCATGGCATCTGGCAAAACTTGAAGAAGTGATCAAGTGAAGAAGTATTTGAAGAGTTCTGCCTTCCTTTATGGACTGTTCCTGGAGTGCAGTGATTACTGCTGTGAAGATTATAAAAAGGTACGTGACTACACTTACTAGGTCATGTCCAACTATGTGTTTCCTTGTCTGCCATCCCATGTTATTACTTGGTTTGGACTTACTGAAAGGTTTTGTGATGTTTACAACTAAACAACAGGAATAATTTTCTTCAGGAACTAAGCAAGCTCAACCAGATTGTTAAGGTTAGGAAGCAATCTGAAGCAACCTTGTGTTCAAATAAGAAATATAACCCAAATGAAGCCAGTTGGAAGGGCTAATAAAGAGTTAGAAAGTTAGGAAGAGATGGGAAGACATATTGGGAGCAGGAAAAACAATTTGGCTATTTTCCAGCATCTCAATCTAGGTTTTGCAGGTGCACAAAGCAGACTTGATCTTGGCATTCCACAGTTAAGGGCTGTGGAGGCTGTGGAGGGAGAGGCTGTAGGACGACTGTAGATAAAGGTGTTTATGGGATGGCCAGGGCATTTGAGTCAATAGGTGCATTCAGGGTTTTGATGAAAGAAAGTTGTAATAAAGACAGCAATTAAGTAAACATGTCAAAGGCACTCATAAAAAGTAGAGTATAAAACGAAAACTGAGAAAGAACAATTGTTGTGTTATCTCGCCTTAAAAGGAACAAGTGTCAGCTGAACAGCAATTTCACTGTTTGACTTTGTATTAATGTGTGATGATTCTGTCCCAAGGGATGGCTCTTCTTTTTCTTTCTGTCCTCTAGTTGGACAGTATTCTTTTTATTCTTACAATATGACATTAAAGAAAAGTGCTACAATTTCTATCTCACTTGAGCTAGTGAAAAATAAGTTTTCCAGTGGAAAATAGACAAATATCTTCCCTTGGGAAAGATCGAATTAATACCATATGCTTTCTGCTGGACTAAATAAAATTGGCAACTAGTCACAGGCCAATAGTGAAAGCTGAGAAGGTAATTTATTCAGCCAAGTGTATTCCTCCTGAAGGTGTGAAAAATATTCTAGCTTGATTACGCATAGCTCTAGACAGGCACATCACACATCACAAACGGGAAACTGGAGATTCACATGATTAAGCTGATTATGCATAGACCTGCATGGCTGATCCTGGTACAAGGTGTTCTGTTGGTGGTCAAACGGGACGTTGGGCCATGCCGAACCTTCTAGATCTGGTCAGCTCTTTTGCTTTCATGCTTCCTACTGCTTCGCTGTTGCTTTTAAGCACTTAACCTTATCTACTGGCAAGAACTGTACCCATTTTATAGTTAATAGCTGCTGCAATAAACCGAACATCCTGATTTCCACAGAGCAAACAACATTTGCTTCACAGACCTTTTCTTTTGAAAACTTTGCTGGAAGTTGCCACCTTCCTCTCAGTTTGATTGTTTGCCAGGGACAATGATTAAACTTTCTCACACCACTTCAACTGAAACGTTTGTTAAATGGAAAAATCCCAGCCCAGGCATGAGAAAGGGATGAGGAGGCTGATCCTGGGATGCCCCTCATGGTACAAACATCTTCAATATGGGAGTGACTTTGCAATGCCATCACACTCTCTCATGTTCTGGTCTGGACAAGTTTGTTGACCTTTGGAGCTGCATGTAGTAGAACAAAACAGGTGTCCTGTAAAAGACCTGCAAATTCCTCTGTTATTGCAGCAGTAATAAAGAAAACAACTGTATTGAAAGCATTCTGCAAGAAAATGTTACAGCCTGATACAGTAAATCCAAGGGTCAAACTAAACACAAAGATCACAATAAATAAAAGCTCTCAAGGTCTGTCTGAGTCACGCACAATTCCCAGCTCTGTCTGCATGGCACAGCCAAACACATGCACTTAACCCACTTGACCTCTCAGTGCATTCAGTGCTGACTTACCTGTGTGATAGACAAAATCTCACTGCTCTAAGAGTTAAGTCAGAAAACTTTGCTAACCAGTGACATGTAGAAGACCTTTAAAAAGGAGTTGTTTGTTAATGCTTCCTAAGACTTCAGTGACTGCTAAAGACAAACAGAAAACTAACTCAGTTTTGCTGATATGCCTCCTTGGTCTGGAGAGGAAGAGAAAATAACAATTAGAGAGGACAACACGCTGATTAAGTGAATAACAACTGATATGAGTTGGAAATTGGAAAAGCAGAAAGTTGTTAATGAACAACAGTATCAGGGAAAACACTCTGTTGTAGCAGAAAATGTGTTAAAAAAAGCAAGAAATGTTAAGCAAGAATAAGGCAAGTACCGGATACAGCATAAGTTCAGCTGCTTTAAGAAGAATAAAACCCAGCAAATTATTCTAGTAAATTCAATTCAGTTATTCTATCCAATATTCAATATTTCTACCCAGAAATCTTCAGGCATAGGTATTTTTAGATTTATGTGCCTGAATACCTTTCGCAAATTAATTTTAAAGATTTGTGTAAAAACTTGGGCAGCAGTTCACTCTCATACCTCCTGAGGGCTCTTACAATACAGCTGAAAAGAAATAATGCTTTTATGAGAGGGGAAGACCTGCAAAATTACCGAAAAATCTAACCATCTATTCCACCAAAATAATTGAAAGGCAGATATAGAGATCAATCAGTAAAGAATTAAAAGATGAAAATATTATCAAGCACAACCATGTTTATTCTATTTTTCTTCTTTGTTTTTATACAATTATGAATTTAACTGAAGATATATCTATGCCATGAAATGTCTGTGTGATTTAAATATAGCAGTGTGTTGGATAAACTAAGCACTTCCTTTACGTATGGAAACTACCCAGCTGATGACTCAAAAAGTAGCTGGTAGAGAATCATCACCTTCTCAAATCATTGCAAATCAGTGATAGGCACGATGCTATTGAATATTCTACCAAAAAAAAAAGAAACAAAGAATAAAATATAAGGCTACTTCTGGATAAGTTTCTTAGAATATGAAGTGGGAAATTGCGAGGAGGGTTATAATGGTCACACAGAGCTATCTGGCATGGTTGGAAAACTGCTCCAACTCCAGAAAAAAACACATTTTGTTTCCACTGTGTTATTCATCTAAAGAAAAGAATGTAAGACATTTAAAAGTTGGGCTATTACATATCAACCATTCACTACAGTTTATCATCAGTAGATCATCTTGTGATGATCTAATCTTGCTTTTCCTGTTGTTTCAATTCCATGTTTTATTGTTATTAGAATTATGTCAGGAAATCCCGAAGAGCTGTTTGTTTGATTATTTCTGCTGATTCAGAAAATTATCCTTACTGAATTTGACGTAAAATAAATAAAAGATCATAGATTACCTGCAAAGGCATAAGGAAGTAAATTGTATTTTTGTGATGACAGTGAGATACAAGCATTTCTTCCTGAAGAATGCAACCAACTTAACCAATCATTTTTCACTGTGCTTATGGAGATCAAAGTCTTCTTACAAACTGTTACGCCTCTCTTGGCTCCAAAAACATTGTATAAATAGGACTGATAACCCACTCCTTTTCTAACCACAAATGTGGGGACAGGGACAAATAATGGGGGTGCTTAGGAGTTTGATATTTTTGCTGTCTTTTCAGCTCCTGCATATGGCAAAAGGCTCCATGGTGTGGCTAAACGAGAGTGGCTATGAGGATTTGGTTGTTGCAATTAATCCCAGCGTGCCAGAAGATGCCAATATCATTCTGAACACAATGGTAAGAACATGTACATGTCCATTAACTGATTCTCAGTAGTTAGGAATGCCTTGACTTTTTCTACTTCGAAAGTAGCATGAGTCCCATTCATGTTAGTAGGTTTTAAATTAATAATGAATGAAGCCCAGAGTTACCAAACTAGTCATTTCTAATTTGCTTTGCCATATTTTGCTGTTACAAATGGCACTTATTTCTTAAGACAGAGCTGTATACAGAGATATTTCTGTTTGAAGATAGGCTGAAATTCATTAAAGTAGCTTTCCAAATGATCTTTACCTGAAAGAACATCCTATGAATTTTTTAATGTCATTGGTTATACTGTAATATGTTACTAGATAGCAGTCTCCCTAATGTTCCATTTAAAATTGTAAAGGAAAAAGAAGAAAAAATGTTAGATTAAATGGTATTTCTGGCTTTAAATTCCATTGCAATCCACATAGATGCTTCAGTGGATCAATTGTTTCAACAAAATCAAATTATTTTGGAAAAAAACTGCTGAATAGGATACATATTCTGACAAACACTTCAGATTTTGCATATGGCTAATGCCTTCTATACCCTGAAGTAGGATTATCACCATCCCATGTCAGTTCTAAAATCAAGTATGAAGGATACCATCCTTTGGTTAGGCGTAAAGCTTATAACATTTCCAGACTTCTTTCACCTAATGAGTACAGGTTTACATGAAGCAAAAGCAGATGTGATAGCTCACTTATTACTCTCAGTCATTGACTGTCCCCTTATTTAGCAATACATGGATTTTGGATCATTCAATTTTCAGTGACAGGCCACCAAATGTTTTTTAGGATAGAAATGTGCAAGTAAGTACTGTTGGTATAAGATATCTATTGTCTGATAAATTAGCAGTGCTGTCAGTATTATGAGAACTTGTTCTGATATTCTTACTTCAGATCCTTTGAACCATTTAAGTACGCTATTCTGTCTGTGTACTTAAGCAGGTTGGTGTGGGGACAACTGAAGTATCTCATTAGTGCTCAGCTTGTCATGGGGTTATCACTGACCACTACCTTCAGTCCTGGCAAACTGAATGTCTACAAGAAATCTCCTTTGTCTTAATTTTGTGTGTCTATAACATGAATATTTGCAAATGTTGTCAAGCCAGTATTAAGGGTAAAATTCTTGAATTTAGTAATTTTTATCTCACATGAAGGCTAGAGTGTAAATTTTATCACAGTCTCTGATTAAGAGGAGGATCAGAGAACTTCTGAGAGAATCCAAGAACTACAGCTTAGGTTTTGTGGTTTCTTCATTCCTTTTTTTCTTAGTAAAGGCTGTAGTTTTCCTTCTTAATTTTCTATTATGTACTCAGTACTGCTTTAACTACTGCTATTTTCTGATTAGGCTGAAGTATTCATTGCATGAACAGTCAAACTTTAAATATTAATGTAGATATTAATGTGTTTTCTTTCACTCCCCAGACAATGATCAAAGATGCTTCTAATTATTTGTTTGAAGCTACAAAACATCGATTTTTCTTCAAGTCTGTAAAAATTATACTTCCTAAA